ACTTCAATATAGGGGACTTGGTACTAAGAAAGGTCACCCTCAACACTCGAGACCCTAACGAAGGGAAATTAGGACCGAACTGGGAAGGCCCTTACACCATTTTGAAGGTAACCGGAAAAGGTTCGTACAAGTTAGGAACGATGGATGGGAAAGAACTACCCAATAACTGGAATATAGGCCACTTGAAGAGATACTACTGCTAAAGGTCGATGATCGGTCGCTAAGATAAGTTCGGACATCGGAGAGACTGAAAGCACGAGCTGCACTCTTTTTTCCTTCGACCGTTTTTGTCCCAACTCGGGTTTTTCGGCAAGGTTTTTAACGAGGCAGCAAGAACATCGTGCTACTATAAAGGTATCCAAGGGTAAATCATTGTATACTAAATCGCCCTCCGAAGGAGGCGAAGGTCAATAAGAATAAATGTAAGGGTCAAACGGCCAAAGCGAGCCGTGCCCAACTAACCTGACCTAATCCGCTCGGATCAGTATGATGTATTAACTATTACTGCAAAAGCAAAGACTATCTGATGCATATTCACATCATAACCTAAAAGATTTTGTTCGACTTCTCGGTATGTTTTCAAGTCCGAACATAAGACCTCCTCGAGGCACATTCGAACATAAGACCTCCTCGAGGCACAAGACCTCCTCGAGGCACATTTGAACATAAGACCTCCTCGAGGCACATTCGAACATAAGACCTCCTCGAGGCACATTTGAACATAAGACCTCCTCGAGGCACATTCGAACATAAGACCTCCTCGAGGCACATTCGAACACAAGACCTCCTCGAGGCACATTCGAACACAAGACCTCCTAGAGGCACATTCGAACATAAGACCTCCTCGAGGCACATTTGAACATAAGACCTCCTCGAGGCACATTCGAACATAAGACCTCCTCGAAGCATATTCGATCTCATATTCGATCACATAAGACCTGCTTTAGGCTCATAAAACCTCAATGAGGCAACGCTTAAACTATAAGACTTCAAGAAGGCAAGTCCAAGCTCATAAGACCTTAATAAGGCGACACATAAAACTGAAAGACCTCAGAGGTGAGTTCGAAATTCGTAAGGCCTCGATAAGGCATTATTTTGACCATAAGTCCTCGAAAAGGCGGGTTCAAATTCATAAAATCTCAAAAAGAGGTAATACCGGCTTCATCATCGACTTCACTAAAAGGCGAAGTATACTCGAACTTGTAAGACCTTAAGAAAAAGGCGTAAAATCGATACAAAACCTGAAGGTCAAATTGTGCCCGAGCTCGAACCCACTCACTCGGGGACTGCTTCGAAGAAACCTAAGGGTTAGACTTCACCCGAGCTCGAATCAACTCACTCGGGGACTGCCTTGAGAAAACCCAAAGGTCGAAGTTCACCTGAGTTCGAATACATTCACTCGGAGACTATTTCGAAAAATATAAAGGACTACCATCGTTCCGAAAAGATAAAAGGCAAAATAATAACAAGATTGAAAAAGGAGCAATAAATGGCAAAGGGCAGTGTTGCATAAAAAAAGCTCGCTACCGGAGCAATTACATAAGAGGGGAAAAAACAAAACAAAGCCTAGCCTATTCCCGGAGTCAATCGGAGCCATCCTCGAATTCTTCGGGGAACGTCGCCCTTCTCGAAGCGTCCTCAGCTTCGGCGGCTTTGGCGACGTCCGATGCAAGATCGAAACCGCGACGTTGGAGTTCAGTAAGAACTTCAAGCCGGGCCTGACACTTCGCATATTCGGCTAACATTCTTGACTGCTGGTTGGCCGCATCAGCATCGGCCCTATATTGGGCCACCATATCGTTGGCAGTCTCCTCGGCCTGAGAAACTTTAGCCTCAGCTTCCCGAAATCGATTGGTCCATAGCTCAATTTCAAGGACTCGAGCCTCATTGGCCAACGTCAAGTCCGCAACCTCTTCCCGAAGGGAAGTCTTGTCCGACTCCAACTGTTGCACCCGGGCTTCCAGTTCGGCTTTATTCTCATTAAGTTCGGCTCTGCTCTCGTCAAGCTCGGCCTTAACCCGATTAAGCTCGGCTTGCACCCCCCTTAGCTTACAACCGAGCTCTTTCTTTGCTTCCTCCAGCCGGATAGCACAGGACGCGTGCTCTTTATTCAAAAGGTCCAATCCGGTCCGGCTTTCTAGCAACTTCTCTTCAAGGACCCGGCGCCCCTCTCGCTCCGCCTCCATTTTGTCCTTGATTCGGAGGAACATCGAGTGATATAGCACCGATGCCTGCAAAGGAAAAGTCTAAAGAGTCAGTAATGGGTCACAAGGCAAAAATATTAGAAATAAAAGAAGCAAATACCTTGAGCTGCGCCTGCTGGGCTTCGTTGAAAAGGCATGTCCAATCTACAGCCTCGGTCGCAGCCCGGTCTTCCTCCGTCATCAGATGATGAAGATAGCTTGCGATCCCGACCGGGGGTCCCAGAGCCCGGACGTCTTTGGGGATAGCAAAAGTTACTATCCTGTTACAGTCCGGGTCCAGGCTCGGAGCCGGAAACCTATCAACAAGCTTGTTGATGGCCGAAGTCCCACTTGATTCGGCCTGAAGGTCTTTCCGGGGGATTTCGAGCCCGAAAGTGTTGGCGGAGGGTACCCCATCAAAAAAGGTCTCGAAGCTACCTCCCATCATCGGGATGTCGTCCGGCAGCTGCCCCCAAGTCGAGGAAGATGGGGGGGACGTAACCGGGTGATCGGTACCCGGGGATGCCCGCGCAGGGGCCGAGGGTTCACTAGCATCCTCAACCCTCACGTCCTCGGGAGGAGCCTCAACTGGATGGACCACCGGCTCAGGGTCCGGTCGAATGGACCGGTGGCGGACGAGCTCCGGCTGCTCCTCATCGTCATCCTCTTTGTCATCCTCTTCCTCGGAGGACAAGACGATTTGGCTTTTTGGTTTGCGGGCGGCCCTTTTTGTCCGCTTAGTCTTCCTTTGAGGCTCGTCCGTACCGGACTCCCCGGGCCTTTTATTTTCTCCCGGAACCGGAAGGGGGCATAGTATTGAAGACCTCATCTCCGCGTCCTTGGGCAAGCCTGCAAAACACGAGGGTTATGATGCATTCCCGATATACAGGAAAAAATGCGCTACCGGTCAAAAAGAAGGCTTACCATGGTTTTTCGCCTCCCACCGACCTTTGGAGATTTCCTTCCAGTTTCGCTCCGAATATGGCCGCTGGGCCACTATCTTGTTTACCCAGCCGGCCAGATCCTTGACGGCAGCTGGAGTTTGGGTCACCGCTGCACAAGAAAAGGGGGTTTCAGGAAGAAGTTGAGGAAAACACGCTCTAAAAGATGAACAGTGAGAAAATACTTACGTTTGAGGTTCCACCTCTCCGGAAATGGCATGCAATCGGCCGGAATCAGGTCGGACGTCCTGATCCGGACAAACCTGCTCATCCAGCCTCGATCTTTGTCTTCATCGATGCTGGAGAATGGGGGTTTGCTAGCCCGGCGGGCCAGTTTTATTAATCCCCCTCGAAATATTCGGGGGCTGTATAGTCGAAGAAGATGGTCGAGGGTAAAGGGGAAATCGCCCTCGACTCTCTCAACAAAAAACCGAAAGAGATATACGATCCGCCACATCGAGGGGTGGATCTGACCTAAGGTCACCTCGTACCGCCGGCAGAACTCCACTATGATGGGTTCTAAGGGGCCTAAGGTGAAGGGATATGTATATACACTAAGATATCCTTCAACGTGAGTCATAATCGACTCGTCACGGGAAGGGGCGACCAGGTCTTTCCCTTCCCATCTACATTCAGCCCTCACCCGGTCTAGGCAACCGGGAGTGATTAGACTAATATACTCCGATGCCGGTTCGCCGCGGCCCGGGACCGATGATGGGTTTTCAACCTGGAAGTCGGCAGATACCGAGCAACCAGTCGGTGTGAATGCTTTCAATGGGGGTTCTGGTGCATGTTCATCAGATCTAGCGGGGCTCGCGGCCGAGCTTGGTCTAGAAGGAACACTTTGTGAAGTTTTCGCCATTTCTTAAAGCTTTACGAAGAGATGAAAAGAAAATACAACCAACGCAGAATTTGAGAAAGATAGGAAATGCTGAACCTGGAAGGGTCGTTTATACTTTTTCCATGAGGCGGTGGCACGAATCGCGAAGCCACAGACACGAAGCGACAGATAATTAAGAGAAGCATTAAATGCCTGCAGCAGGCGTGGTCAGAGCACTCGATGGCTTTTTCACCTGGCGTATGGCCATACGTCACGGGCATCACGTCACCGGTCATATCGTTTATTATCATTACTCTCTAATAAACGAGGGGACTATCTGTATTAGGTGATACCCTTTTTTGCTTGAGCCCGACCGGGTTGGGTCCGGACCGGAGCAAATCGGGGCCATCAAACCCGACCTGGATGCAAGGTAGAACGACGGCCACGTCTACAACCGAGGTCGAGTCATTTCGAGACCGTTACAGAGCTCGATAGGAGTCACCACCGGATGGAGAAACACACAAGGTCGAAAGCCGGACTCGTAACGGATAACCAAGCGTCGCCGGATATCTCGCCCAAACGTGATTTTCTCAACCACTTCAGGCCATTAAGGCGTAATTACAGGGATCCACGATGTAATCAATTGACCTACCTTATTTTTACCCTTAATCAGAATGTATAAAGGGGGATCTCTCTAAATTCTTGAGGATCATCAAGCACAATTGTTCTAAGCAATATTATATTCTGCGATTATTTACTTTAACAGCAATTGTTGAGTCTTTATCTTTATTTTCCTTAACCTAAAAACCTTTTGTATCTTTTAGTTCACGGATCCTTAAAACCCCATATAAATTCAATTGTTATCCGGATTCGAGGGTAAACAAACAGCAATAATGATCCAACTGTTGTAGTTGACAGCAGTAGCAGGTGGCATTTTGATTATTCCAGCTAATACCACAGGCACCGAGATCAGTCTAATCCACTGATGATTAGGGAAAGCTTCCTGTAATAACCAAACAAATGCAGGAGCTACAGCTCCAAGTAGAAAAAACCAATTTGTAGCAGAGTAATAGCCAAGATTTCCATAAATCCTCTGTGATCCAATCAAACCCCAGATAACTGAGGCATCATAGAAAACGTGATCAGTTGGACATGTCCATGGACTGTCTTGAGGAAGCAGAGCTCTATCACAAATATTTGGGACAGTGTCCATTAGCCACCATGCTGTTCCTAGATGTGCAAATGCTGATATTAAGGTTCCAACTACCTGAATAAATAGCTCAGAGCAGAGAAAACAGATTTGTGACAGGTCTTTATAAACCTAGGAACTAAGATAAGCTTTTTGAATTATGTTACTTTGACAAAAGATATAAAAAGTTAACCTGAGCCATGAACATTGCCCGAGGGGGGATCTTCATATAATGTCCAAGTTTTAAGTCTTGCAGAAAGGTTAAACCTTGCTTCATACTGATATAGCCATACACCTTGAAGCACATATTAGCAACTGGATATCCTGGATACAAGTATCCCATTATGTACTCCGTGATAATATTTAAACCAGGTGTCTGAACGACAAAAAAATTGGAACATCAGATTTGCCGAAGTAATAAAACAATAAATTCACAACACTGACACCAAGCTTTTATTGCAACCAATTTTACCTAAATACCCCACACTGTGCTAATACACTACGTATGTTGTTGTTGTTGTTGTGCAGTAATTATGTTACTGATAGACAAAATCACAGACATATTTCAAGCTGCTATTAACTGAATGGTACATATGAGCTTACTTGGTTTGTTGTAGCAGTTATGACGCCAATTGGGAGGGTGAAAAAGAAGGCAAGACCACACGCTAGCAAGACACCCCACCATGGTAATTGGAGCTGGTTTTTGTAATATTCACATACAAATACAGTTGCTGCAATATTTATTACTAGAATAATTTGGAACCACCATTCAGGAACTTGCTTGTATTTCCTCATCAGCTTTGTGTGCACGTCCATTTTCTTCTCCTGTAACGCAGACTTGCTGAGCTGCCATAGATCCCTGCACCTCAATAACTAGTCAACTGGTGTTTCCATTCTCTACATCTCAAGGCAAGGGTTAATTTCACGTATATACTAAACTTTACCCACTATAACAATAAGTAACAAAACAATTTTGTCATATTTAAGTAACTGAACTTTACCATTACTACTATTACATCAAAGTATGCATCTTACCGTCCATGAAAGAGTAAAACATGAACAACTGTGGCAGTGAGGCAAGCAAAGCTGAATGCATAGGTCAATGAAAGGAAAATGCTGAGATAAAGGCGACCCTCATGCTCATATTTCTCTAAATCGATGTGAAAGTTTTGGTCTATGATGCTTGAAATGTTGTAGTCTTGACCATTTTCTTTAAACAAGCCATCCGAGAATATTGGAAAGTTCTTGGCCTTGTAAACATTGGACCAATACATAAGAGGTGTAACAACATACACAAGGAGAAAATAACCAACAGCAATATTTGCAGTAGCAAACCATGGGCTAGCTAGTGGGCTTCCAAGATAGGAGGATATACTAGACCAATCAAGCCCAATTGCACCTATACCAAGACCATGCATCCCTGAACCCAACTGTTGGCCCAGGACAGAGGAAGGGTACAACCAACACAGCCAAGATATGGAACTTAGCATTGGGAAAAGGTAACCTGGAAAGACATAGTAAGCAAAGCTGCACACAAAGGCAATGAGGAAGAATTGGTTTCTTGTCAATCCATTCTTGGTTCTCTCTTCTTTATCATGAAGAGCCCTGCCATTGGAAGGGAAAATCTTAAGGGAGAGGACACCTGTATATGTAAAACAGTAAAAGTATTAAAAGTTCAACAAATATTAACTTTTGATATTATAATTCCAAAAATTATATAGGTGCAATGGTGAATTTAAAAAGCCGAACCAATTAAGTTTAAATTATGAATCCGCCTTTGAATCAAATCAATTCTGTGTCTAAACTGACTTGTACCTTCTTCATTTAATTTGGTGTTAAATGTTTTTCCTTTCATCCTCTTTTTGTAAAAGTATTTTTTTAGTATTTTGGCTCTTGGTTTGAACTTTATACTGTTAGACATCTAGCTAGTACAGTTTGCACTTATCTAAGATCAGTCATGTTGCTCCCAAAATATGTAAATACCTTCTCAATTTCGTAGTCAAATTATTACATGCAATGTTGGCAAACCAACACAAAAGGTCGATGCATCAAATTCTACTCTCTTGGGATTTCCTTTGTCAATTATATCATAAATTCATAATGATAGTCAGCTGATTCACAATTCTGTATTTTTTTTATATCGGATATCACAAAAGAGGGACGATTCAGTGTTTTGTATCAACACATATATTTATATGCAGTATGCATACAATATAGTATTGTCAGAAGTTTCAACGGAATTACTAATACTGACGATGTCGTCATTTTATCTGTTTATCTTTAATAAACTGGTTGAACAGAATTTCCATATCCGCTGATAAAACCGAAAAAAAGAGAGCTAAAAACCCAAAACAAAACAACCCAACTTTACATTGATACAATTTAGTGAGTCTACACATATATATAAACCAACATATATAGTGAATTATTTTTGGATAAAACGTTGACCCAAATTGACCAAGTATCATTTAGAATTCTTATCGAAAAGGCCTTGTTTCTATTTCTTTCCTTTTTATGTTAAATACTCTGATGTACGTCTATCAGTATGTCACGTATTTCTCTTTAATTCCATCATGCAATGTTAATGCTCACCGGATATCTTGTTATAGTATATATAACATTATTATGTTTAAATAATGGAATGTCTTTTTGCAAAATGTTATTCATTCCACACCGAACAAGACAGACAAAAGTTGTCGGCCATTAGTAATCTACTACCCCCTCTATCCCAAAAATATGTTGCGCTGAAAAATAATTGTTGCAGCTGAAAGAGTAAGCTGTTGAGCAAATAAATCTCTTTTTTTAGTTGTATAAGTTAAAACATTGGTTTCTAAAAATTTTAAGGTAAGATCTAGAGATTCAAAATTACGTAAAAAGTATCATACATCACAACATTTCATACTCAAGATATTTTGCTGTAGTAGCCATACCTGAATAGGGACACCTGGACAAGATTTTGGGGCCACCACATGGCCGCGGGCTCAACCAAATACCGGCGAAAAATCCCAGCCCAACCAAATCCCAAAACTTGCGTCGTAATAACGACGATCAACGCCACCCAAAAACTCAACTTCTGCTTGTAGAACAACTTCACGGCACTCACCACGTGAATCGCATAAGGATTCCCGGCGCCTGAGTTGGCAAAGATCGTGATAAGCACGTGTTCTTTCACGTTGAAGGGGCCGGGATTCAGTGTGAACTCCCACTTGCTACCTTTGAAGAAAACTCGGTCCGTAAATGCCTTGGCCATGAGGTGACCTAACGGGACCACCGCAATTTGGGCGGAGATGGAGGTGATGGTGAGCGGCTCACGGCGGTACCAGAAGAACTGGTTGAGGAAAGAGAGAAGGAAACAAGCAATAGTGCCGAGAACCCACATGCGGAAAGTGACGACCGGAAAAGTGGGGTCGTCGGTGATGGGGACAGTGAGTGCCACCTGTTCAACCGGAGAGTTATCGTCATCTTCCCTTTGAACTGCAAATGTGTGATGTTTTTTTAAAGAGAAATGAAAGAATTAATAGGAGTAATTGGAAGAGAAATAGAGGGAGGATCAGTGAATGCTTACGAAGTGGACCTGAGATTTCTGAGTGTTGCTCCGCAACATTCATCATTTCTTCTCGGTCTTCAAGTTTTTGCTAAGGTGGAATGAAGTAAAGGGACGATGAAACTTAGCAACGTTTTGACATAAAAATTGTACTTTTTAATAAACATACTCCCTCCGTTCCAATTCATGGAAAAAAGCTCAGAGTATTTGTGTAGTTATAAAAGCTTGTGGAATTGTAAGTTTAAGTTAAATTATTTCCAAATTTAGAAAGGGTCATTCTTTTTGAAACGGACAAAAAAGGAAATATGTTCACATAAACTAGAACGGATGGAGTACTATTTAGAGTTAAGTTAAAAATTGATATTTGAAATTAACGTATGAACATGCACTTCACTTAAAAAATATTACAATTTTGCGAGTAGGAAATTGAAATCACAAAAACTCATTATTGAATTTTTTTAAAAAAATTACAAAATTTCATAGGCAAATATATTTGTTTTTAAAAAAATCGGAAAAAAAAAAATTATGGACAAACGGCCCTTACTATCGGTCTATCACTTTACGTAAAAGTCTCTCTCGGCTGAAGACAAATATAGCAAAAAAACCAATGATCTGGAACGCACAAAGTGTAGTAATTTTCTGTTCTTTTTGGTTTTTAAGGAAAAAAATAGAGGCTTTAATGGTGTATAACCTTTTTTTAAGTAATTTATGTTCTCACTATATTTACCTCAAAAATACGAGTAACAATTAAAGTTGATTTGTGGTTTTAAAAATATGTAATTAAATTCAATACCAATTAATATTCAAGAAATATGAAGTGGAAATGAAAGAAATAAGTGAATCAAACCAAAGTTACTCAGCAGTGGTGACCTCGAGCTTAGTGACCTCGAGATGGACTAAGAGCAATAAAGTAAGAACAATAAATGTAAAGGACAATTTTGATGAGCAGTAAGAGAGAAAAGTAGGATAGTATATTCTTGCCAATGATGAGATGATGCTACAAATGATTGGGGTCCCCTTTATATAATAAGGGAACCCTAAATAAGGTATATCTCTATTTACAATAAGGAATATTCTTGATACAGCTGTCTAACCGCCTAGTACGGAATCGTACAATCCTATTTCGGGATTTGCGCCATGATTTTGGGGACATGGCAGGAATCTCAGCTCATTCTGTTACAAATCCATAACGGTACAATTTCGGGGTCGAGCATACTCGGCCTCGGTGTACATCACGCTTCAATCTTCGGGCATTGCACTCTGCCTTCGAGCTCGGATCTGGTCCCTCGAGCTCGAACTCGACCTTGCCTGAACTCTGGCTCAAGACGACCCCTCGAGCCTATAGATCGGAGGCATACGATTTCGACCGTATACAGATAGTCCCCGCGCCTCGATTCTCCGGAGTCTCTAATGATGATGTCATTCCCGTGATGTGAGCGCTCAAAGTGACTGAAACGTCGCTTCTGTGCAGTTCCCAAAGTCATTAATTGGAGGCAACTGACGTCGGCTATTTGGCTTCCCCAATACGCTTAAGTGACCTCTATAAATAGGCCAACTTCACAACTTTGCAAACTTTATTTCTCTAGTTGTTTTCAAAATCTCATTAACTCCTTCAACTTCTCTGAGTTCATCCTTCTCTTTAGCTCGCCCTTACTTCATTTTCTCTCTGAATTTCTACACCATAATGGCAAAACATCTAAATCTGTTCCTCAAAAAGAAAAAAACTTTTCATCTTCGTGACTGGCCAAAAGTAAAATGGTAGTACCACCTCGTTTCGAGGAGTGTATTCCCCCGCCGTGTGAAACAACATCTAATTTCAAAACTGAAAAACCTGTATCGACACCAGGCCGATGCGAGCCCATGTCCCGATACATCTGTTTGATAACCGAAACTGAGCTCGAGCAGGTGAAAAATGACTGTAACTGGGGGAACAAAGATGTAGTGATCCATTATCCGAAAGAGGACATCACTACTCATAAAGCTGGATATTTGAGCGTATATACCTACCCATTTACGCTGGGTTCCGCAAATCTAGCCCTGGGTCCCATAGATCCAGTTATTCTTGACTTTTTCCAACAATACCAAGTCACACTTGGCTAGATCTATCCTTCATTCTGGAGGATCATCAATTTGATCAGATACTTCTCGAGCTAGGTCGATGGGATGCCTTTTACCCTCGACCATCTAATCAGACTGTACAGCCCTCGCCTCTATCGGGGTGGCCTGATAAAGCTGCAACGTCGATCTTCGAAATCTCTCTTCTCTAGTATCGATGAGGACAAAGATCGAGGATGGATGAGCCGGTTTGTCCGAGTCAAGACCTCTGACTTGATTCTTACTAAGAGGATGCCATTCCTCGAGGAATGGAACATGAAACGTAAGTGTGCGCTTATCTTTCTACCCTGCTTCCCTTTCTCTTTCTCGATTTCATCCTTTTCTTGGTCTAACCCCTTTCCGATGGTGTAGCTGTTGCTTGGTTTCCTGGTGCCGTCCTGGACCTCGAAGGTTGGGTCAAAAAATAGGCTTTTACCTCTTCATACGCGGAGCGCTGCTGGCGTGACCTGGCCAAAGGTCGATGGGAGGCTAAAAACCATAGTGAGTTCTCTTATTTGTTTACTTGTGTTTCTCAGTGATAAACTTACTTTGTCTTTATGCAGGCCTCGGAGACGCCCATGCTATGCGGCCGTCCCCGACCGGTGAAGAAGAGATCCCAATCCTTCCAAAGAAAAGAAAAGAAAGAGGGGGTCGCCTGCGAATCCCCCGAAGCCTAAAAAAAGCGTGGCTTGAAAGCCTAAGGCCAATACTGTGGCCTTATCTCTAGAAACGGCCCAACGCCTTCGGGACCAGGAAGAAGAAGAAGATGAGGACTGCCTGTTGGTAGTTCGTAAAAGAGGAAGCACCGGTGCTTTGAAGTGTGCTGAACCGGTGGTGGTAGATGCGGTTCATTCTAGAACCGAAGAAATCTCTAAGGGGAGTTCGAGCAAAGTCCCCGAGCCATCGGGCAGCAAAAGAGTACCTCATCGTGGAGGTCATTTGGAGGGTGAGACCGAGGGGGCCGGTACCGAGGTCCTTCAAAGAGAAGCCCCGAGTGGATCACTTGGGGTAATTGATATAGATGAGTCACCGCTTGGTCCCGAGTTCTCAGAGGGGCAATTCCGGGATGCACGGAACATGAGAACTCCTGATGTGGGGACGAGCCACGAGGGGCACGATATCTTTCGAGAATGCCTTGCAAGGATCGAAGATCGTCCCGATCCAGATGCTTCTTTCATTTTCGATGAGGCTCATCGGCTCATCAAACAAGTAAGCCTCTGTTCTTCAGAATTACACCCGCGTTTTATCCTTGTTGCTCCGAGTCTAACTTTTCCCTTTTTTTTGTGTGAAGGTTGTGACGCTCCATAAAGAAGCATTCTCCAAGTATCGAGCTGAGCTTTCTCGATGTGAGGTCGAGCATAAGAAAATCTCGGAAGAGAGGGACGGTCTTAAAACCCTCTATGTCAAGAAAGAGGAGGAGATCAGTGACCTTCGAGCTGAACTGGCGGAGGCTCGTCAAGAACGGACCGAGCTTGTTGAAAAGGTAACATACCCTTTGAAATTTTGTTATGTATTTGCCCGACTGGTTGGCTAATGCTTCGACTTTACAGGTTGAACAAAAGGGCGAGCTGGTGGAGCAGCTTTGAGAGGAGCTTAAGATGAAGGAGGCCGAGACCCTGGGGTGGAGGCAAGGCATGAATAGTCTTGCCTCTGAGAAAGATACTCTTCGGGAGCAGCTGGCCTCACTCGAACGCCAGCTTCAAAGTGTGAGGGAAGAGAGCCTGGCTCGAGGCCGCAAAATCGAGGGTCTTCAAGCTAAATCCGCTGCTGAGCTTGCCAAGGCCAAATCTGACGCTGCGGCAGTTATATCTTCGTACCGAGCTGATGCTGAAGCAGCTAACGCCCGGGCAAAGGAGATCTCTGCTGCGTCCGAAGTTAAGTTATCATGTGCACTTGACCACGCCAGGCGACAGTCCCGGAGGGAAACCCTCGAGGAGGTGCATGCTCGCGGCTTCGATCTCTCAGCCGATATTGAAAGTGCAAAGACTTTGGAAGAAGAGGCCGCCGCTTTGCAATCTGATGAGGATGATTCATCCAGTGGCTCCGAGAGCGGAGGAGATGAAGATGAAGTCCCCAGGGAGGAGGCTCCCGAAGATGCGGCTCCCGAAGATGCAGCTGCCGAAGATGTGGCCCCGGAGTAGTTTTAGGCTTCTTTATTTTGCCTTAGTGTTTTTGTGCAAGGATCCCTCGTGGGTATCGTAAATATTTTTTTTAAATATCTCTTGGAAATACAAAGGACCTCTTTGTCTCAGCTTCAGCTTGTGTTGAATCTCATTTTGTCCTCGTTTATGGAAAATTCAATTGTACAATTCAAATGATCAGTCCGAGTATTGGTTTGGACTCAGAACATAATAAACCTGTGAGCACGTGATTTTTGCCTCGCTTGAACTATTCCTATAAAATTCTTAAAAATTAGGATTTTTCTTTATTATTTGAATTTTAGGGAATTAATTGCATGATTTTTGTTTGTTTGCATTTTTGTGTGCATTTTTAGTTGGCATAATTCATAAAAAATAAAAAAATAGCACATTTTTGCATTTAGAATTCGATTTTATATTTTTGTTTTATTGGTCAATTAATATCACAAAATAGAAGAAAATAACAAAATGGTCATTTATAAACTAGGATTTAGTTTATTAGTTTAATTTTAGGGTTAAATCAGGTTTTGGTTAGATTTAATTTTGTATTTTAAAAGTGAAAAAAAAGAAGAAGAAAATAAATAAAAACAAAAGAAGAAAAGAAAAGAAAACAAATGAAAAAAAAAGAATTAAAAGAAGAAGCTTGGTCTTAATAAACACCATTTTTTGGGCCATTTTTCAGCCCAATCTCGCCCAAAACCGGACCAAACATGCCCAGCCCAAATACATTCTACCCAGCCCGGTCCAGCAGATGCCCAAAACGGCGTCGTTTCAATGACAATCAATCCTGACCGTCTAGGTTGTTTGATCTGACGGTCAGGAACTAAGGGACTTTAAATATATAACTGTTCGATCTCACCCCCTACCCCCTCATTCATCGTCCCTAACCCCTAACACTAACCCTAGCCGCCCCCAAATTCCCACCGTCTTCCGCCGTCTGCCGCCGGCCGGGAATCGCGTCCACGGCGGCGCCACTTCCAAACGTCCCCAAAATCACACCCCATGCTCCTCTCCTCCTCTTCTTTCCATGTCTAGGTTTAGATTCCCTCAAATCACCACCAGATTCCTCGAATTTCAAATCG